CCTGCACACACTCTGACCAGAGCTGAGGACGGAGCCTGCAACCCAGGTATGGTGCCCTTGACGGGGAATTGAACCTGAGATGCTTCAGTGCGGTGGGTGGGAGGGGGGGGGGGGGGCTGTCGCTCTAACCATTGAGATAATCAATCAGGGCTAAAGAGTCTCTTCTTGACCAAACTTTAGGCAGGCTCCTTTGAGCCCTCTGCTTGACCTTGGGCTCCTGTCTTTGTCCGTGTAGAGTCCAAGTTTTAGCAAGATTCCTATCAAGTTGGTTTGGCCAGAATCCCTCACCCTCAATACCTGATCACCCTTGATATTTGACCAAGTTTCTTATCTCCCACCAACCTCCAGGTGACGTCTGAGCACCCTGGCCTGCCTTCTGCAAGAACCCTGCTAGGCCCATTTAGCCAGCTGTTTCCCCTCAGTAACCCCCCTCTCCCCTACTCCTTGGGGATAAACTCCCATTTTTCCTTATTGTGTTTGGAGTTGAGGGCAATCTCTCTCCCTTACTGCAAAACCCCACGCAGTGCTCCCCATACCTATCGTGATAGTCCCGAATAAAGTCTGCCTTACCGAGTAGCAGGATTATTCTTTTCTTTTAAAATGGCTGGACTTTGAAAGATCGTTCTGGCTGCTGCACAGAAAAATGGAGTGTGGGCATGAAATTAGGGGGAGGCAGAAGGGATGGGTGGAGGCCGCTGTTCCTGGTGAGAGAGTATAGGCCCAAGTCACAGTGAGAAGGAATGGGGGCAGGAGGTTGATGGGACTTGCACGTTGGAGGGAGGAGTCTCCATTTCTTCCCTGCTGTAAGCCCTTACCTGGCTGCCATCACTCTTAAAGATGAAGCTCCCTAACTGAGACCTATTTGGCCAGTCAGGCAACCGCCATCTCATGCCCTGTCACCTCAGGGCCTTTGCACATGCTCTGGTAGCCTCTCTTGGGAATGTCCTTTTCTTTGTTCAATTCCTGATCTTCTGGAAGATCTCAAGTCAATTAGCACTTTCCAGAGAAGCCTCTCCGGCTCCCCCAGCATGGTGACCGTCCCTGCTGTGGGTACAGTGGGCTTTTATACCATTGCATGGTTACCGGTTAACGTCTGCCTCCCCTAAGAGTGTAATACTCCAAGGCGCAGGGCCAATGTGAGTTTTCAGTCCAAGGCTTAGAACAGAGTGCATATTCAATAAATATTTGTCAGATGGCTGGCTGATTGGTGGGTTGGTCCTTATTGGGCAGAAACAGGCCCAGATCTCTTCATTAGCTATTGGCTCAAAGTCTTGCACGAGGCCAGTAGTATGAGCCAGGGCCAGCATGGGGACTGAGGCCACTGGCTGCAGGAGGCTTACACCATGGCAACTTGGGAGAGAACGCCTCCCTCAGAGCAAGTCTGGTCTGATGGGCCTGAGGGTGGGACACTTGCTGGGCTTTCAGGCTTATCCGGCCTACCACACGACATCCTGGCGATGGGTAGCGGTTATCGACCTGTCTGCCACCGCACCAGGCTGCAGCTCCTCTGGGGTGGGGACTGGGCGGGCACTTTTTATTTCTGGGTGCGCAGTGCCCGACCCAGAGCCTGGCATGGACAACACACCGTGAGTGACTGCAAACTGGAACTGCACCAAACAAGGCTGTGAAATGCAGAGAGGCTTCCATTGACTGAGAGGTTGAGAAGGGATCTGGGGAGAGAAGAAAGAAAAAGGGACAGCCTTAGTGGCTTCTGGCCGCCATAACAAAAGACCACAGACTGGGCAGCTTAAACAACAGAAGTGTATTTCTCACAGCTCTCGGGGCGGAGAAGTCCAAGATCAAGGTGCCGGCTAACTTGGCTCCTGGTGGAGGCCCTCTTCCTGGCTGTAGACAGCTGTCTTCTCACGTTGTCTTCAGTGGTCTGCGTGCGCCTGACGGGGAAGGAGAGAGACGAGTGCAGGCAGAGCTGGTGGGCTCTGGCAGAGA